TTCACTGCTTATATATATGCGGGTTCGGGTCGGGTTGCGGATCTTGTGCCGGCGGGTCGGGTCGGGGTGCGGGACTAATTGGCAATATGTGCGGGGAGCGGGGCGGGTTCGGTATTGCACGTCGCGGGTGCGGGGCGGGACCGGGTCTTGAAAATCAGACCCGTGCAGGACTCTGACCCAGACCCCACGCAGCATTCTCATCTGTTAGTCATTACTGTTGTCATTTTCTGGTTGCTAACAAACGCCATTGTAATACATAATCACTGATGTTGCGCTGTAACGGTGGTTGACTCATCAGAGCACAGTGGGCTAATAGGGGGGGGGAGCTCCAACAAGCCGTTCAGGACAGAGAGTGAATGCACATACTATACAGAGATGCTGTATGAGAAACCAATGTGATTTTGGAACATTGAACAATGTAAATCTATTCTAGTAGACCTCAACAATGGAATTATGATCAGTAGAAATGGCCATGTCATGGGACCTTTAAATGGGGTGGCCTAAATATTAGAAATATGAGAACAAGCTTGATAATAAATATAAAGCTACATTTGGTCACAATGAATGAAGAGAATCCAAGAGACAGAAAACAGGGTAAAGCGGTAATGAAAAAAGAAATGTTCAGAGATGTCATTTGTTGAGGTTAAATATTATATTTTTTAAATATGGACTAATTAACAGTATGCTTAAAATACATGACAGATCTTGCTATACCCGCATAAAGCCTTGCTGCAACAGGTCTCACCAGATAAGTCTGTTCATCTCCATGTCCAAGTCGTCCTCCCAGCCCGTGGCCACAGGTGAACACCTGACCTTTCTGAGACAGGAACACTGAGTGGAACTTACACAGGACCACCTGCAGGGAGGAGAGGAGGGTAACATCAGCAAACATGTCATTTTTCCCAGTGGGGTGTTTCCTTACATATTTTATTTCATAGAACAAAAAATGTAAGCTTGCGTTAACTAAAAAACGTTCAAAACGTTTTCAGTGTTATTTTAATTTCACAACGGATACCTTGTATTTAAACTGCAAATCAAATATATTTACGGGAACAAATAAATAACCTGAACCTGAAGGAAACCGAAAGTGGTCAAATGCTAACTAAACCCGAGTTTCAGGACTCATTCCTGCACCACTCTTTTGTATTTAATACCAATAAATCACCTATTATAAGGGTTAAAAAAAAAAAGAGTTTGAAGTTTGTGCGGTTTAAGGATCTTGTCTTCATAGTGTTGACCTGATAGTGAGCAGAGGCTAGCGATGCATCTCTTTCCATGTCCTTTGGCCAAGCCTTCTTGTAGCGATAGTAAAACCCTATGCCAATAAAGGCCAAGTGGAAAAGCAAACATCATTATTAATACATTGCTACCCCTCAAGCTTTCAATAGGGCGCAGGGATGTTTCCCAAAGTATGACATTGATGTGGACACTCACACACACTACGGTGTAGTTCATTTAATTAAAAACATGTCATTGTGGAATTAATATTTAACCTCTGGCACATGCTGGGTTGGGATATGGAGACAAAGACTACACGCAGAGCCACTGGGTCATTGTGTGGTCATGAAATCGGATCCATCTGTCCCCTACTAGGCTTTATGAAATTACACTGCAGGAGAAGTCTTGAATGACATAAAAAAAACTCAAACATGGGGTTTCTTCTGTAAATACCAATAATACAATGACATGAACCAAAGCTTAATCTTTTCTTAACTAATACACAAAATGTATGCAAAAAAAAATCTCTAACAATGGATTAAAATGACAACATATCTAACACAGTTGTTACTTAATCGACATTAACGAGCAGCTGGTGTTTGTGCACACTACTGGTGGGAGTCACATTGGTGCCATTAGCTTTATTAATCACACTAAGAGCATACAAAATGCATGTAATCGTAGCCATGCTGGCACAGCCTAGCTCGACAAAGTCACAAATGAAGACTACACATGAGACACACCAGATATGAACTTTGTTTGACTCAGGAAAAAAAAAGTAATTTAGTTTGACTGGCCAACGTGAATCTAGGTGCTGATGATACTACAGAGTTTCTGACGTTGCATATAAATTACAATTGCTACCTTCACACAAAGTTTGCATCCAGCTCTCTTTTTCCAGTTGAACTCCTTAGCCAAACAGGCTTTATGTTTGGGTTTGTCGAGGCAGCCCTAGCATTGAACTATTGTGTCTGTTTATTCCATATTCCAACGCAAAAAATGTTCACTGTCAAAATTAATGGAAAAGATCTTTTTTTCTCTTTCGTATAGCCAGTTCGTTCACACGAGGCCGCAACGGAAACGCGGAAACGGACCCCTAAAACGATAACGGGTCCCAAGGTGGATAGATCTGTGGACAGAATGCTCTGCGGGGCCAAACGGCTCTGTGTGTACGTCCTATACAATCATTTCCTGATAACGATGAAGCCATAGCCCCACCTCTCCCCACCTCTGCTGCTCACTGCTGTAGCATGGTCAGTAGCTACTGACCATGCTACAAATGTTAGTGCAAACTCTTCAGCTCCTCTACCAAAACCAGCAGCAACAAGTGGACATGGAGAACTACATGTTGCTAAATCCACCGCGGAGAATAAAGAGAAGGGCAACCATGCTCGGGGGTCTTCTTCACTGCTTTTGGTGTATTTTGTGGCGGAAGTACTGCGCCACTTACAGGCCCGGCATTTGTACTACAGCGTCTCCAGCGCTTTCGGGCGGTCTCGTGTGAACAGAAGACTTTTTTGATATAGTATTAGTTTGCATTTGCGTTCCCGTGTAAATGGGATCTAACATTCACACACACTCACACAGACACTTACATATGCCTTCGGGAGCAGTTTGGGTTAAGTATTTTGCCCGAGGACACGTCTAATTGTTGACTGCAGTGGCTAAAAATCCAACCACGGACCATCTGATTGGTAGACAACAACATTAACTCACAGCCACCCTCCAATCAGATATTGTTATTTTCCATACTGCCTTATCAAACGTATGATTAAAAAAATCCCAAGAAAGTACCCAATATTTCTACATCTATGTTACAAATACGGATTAACCCTGAAAAGAAGGTTGTGTAATACAGGACTCTGGGGAGTGAGTGTTTTGCTGGTTCACCCAGGTGGCGTGCCTTATCTCGAGCACCCATGTGAGTTGGCGCTTTTTTTTTAATGCAACACATGTTGGCTCAGAGTTAAAGCATGAGGCTATTACTGATGTGACACAAAGGGAGTGGGGTTCTCTGGGTAGGGAAGCCCTTGGCTCTAGGAAAACACTCTCTTACCCCCTGAGAGGGAGGACAACAACAGTGTGTTGTTAGGCCTACCTGCTTGATGTAAACCCCAGTCCGGGCAAACACATCCACCAGCTCAGGGTGCTGTCGGCTCTCCTGATTACCATGGCCCAGACTGAAGTTAGTATTGTTTCCCCATGTGTACACCTCAGTTGGATCTGTAATTAGGAAGAAAAGACACAATTACAGGCTCAGCCACAACACTGCCTCTACATGCATCTTGGTTAAACCAGTGGTCTTTTCTGCCATAAAAAAATATGGCTATTTTGTTGACAACAAGTGAACTAAAAGTGCTCTTTATATCATACAAAAGAAAGAAATACACATATGGCATTTAAGTAGGAATGTACAAAGTTAATATAAAATAGAAGGCATTAATAACACAAAATACAATAAAATTGATGAAATAGAAAGATGTCCAGTTAATCCTTAGTGGAGTGGGTACTTCATCCTTTTCTATAACGGAAAAAACCCAAATCATAGCAACTAGAAAGACTTGTGATGTAGCAGAGGGAGAATCAAATCCCTTGCATTGTACAAGTGTGAGACACACAATTAAACAGGATTTTTAACAGTGACTGTAAATGTCTACGATAACAACCACAAGCCCAAATGTGTTGGTCTCACAACCAATGAGTTCTGTATTCAACAACTGAAACAATGTAGTTTCCATTTCTTCACACTTCATGCACGTTAGATATAGAAAAAGTTGTGCCAGATATTATTTTTCAACTTGAGTCAGCAACTTTCTTATACCCTTTAATGTACTATCCCTGTGACCTTAAAATATACAAATTGGAGGGCAGGAGAAAAAAGTATAATGAGGATTATAGGTTTGTATTGAGTTTGGAAAAAATATGAATAAAAATGTGATAGATTTTATCGGATGTGGCTTTAGGGCTCAGCACACCAACGTTTGTATCTTCACCTGGGTACACTTTATTATTATTTTAATTGACTCAATATATATATTATTCAATTTTCATTCCGTGTTACTATGTGAATTTTTATTATATGCAAATGTATAATAGAAATCGGATAACCTTATGTTATCCGATTTCTTGTTGATATGTTATGCAATTATGTTGATATGTTACGCAATATTTCAGTAACTTGCAATTCAAAAAGGGGAAAAGGCAGAATAATTGGTCACAGAAAGAAAAAATAAGTCATCAGCTTTTCTTACCGGTGTTTTTGAACACTACATGTGCTGGACGGTCCTTCATTGTAAGGTCCAGAACAGAGAGGCCCTCCTTGTCCTGTGTGGATAAAAGTCCTCCATGCTGGAGCAATGCAAGGAAAAAGAAGATCATTGAAATTAAGTCGAAAATCTTAAAAATGAGCAAGGAATAATCTTATTTCATTCCATCTTTCCCATATTGTTGAATTACATAAATGTTTACTACATGGGACTACTTAAATTGGAGCACGTTGCACAGTTGAGAGCCCATTTTTTTGGTGATCCACGTTAATAACATACCTTGACCAAAGATATGAGACAGTGGATATGTCCGTAGAAGGCGCTGCGATGCACAGCTGTCCAGCCAGACTCCTTATCCTTCGCCATCGGGTCAGCACTCTTGCTCACCAGCAGCCACTCCAGCAGGATCTTCTTTCCCAGGGAGGATGCAAGGTGCAGGGCTGTGCGACCAAAGGCATCCCGCAAGGTGGCTGCATTGTAGCAGTGTGAGCTCAAGAACGCCCTCAGCTGCCCCTCAGAGCCGCCGGTCAGAGCCGCTACCACCTCTTCCGCATGCTGCTGTGAGCGGCATTTGGGGGTGCAGTCCTGCACTGCCATACTCATGATGACCGCCACCAAAATCCTCACCGTGAACCCTACTCTCTCCTGTCTAACAAAGTCCCCTTGACAGCCCACCACCCACAATTGCAAAACAACTTTAAAAACAAGACCATGCGATGTAACAAATCAAAAACACTGTCACTAAAAAAGTGAACTATAGCTGCTCTCCAAGAAGAAAAAATATATATAAGAAAAAAATACGTGTCAACAAAAGGTGGAAATGGTTTGGAGTGCTAGAATTGTGCTTGTGTTGGGGTTCCACCGCACCCTAGCGATCCCCAGAGCCCACTTGTGACTTGTTTCAGTCGACCATCTCAACCAAGAGTTGAACACAAACTAAGGTGCTTCCTGCATTCAATGGCATCGAGAATTCAATAAATACAAAAACTCTTGTGCTTTTTATACAAAAATGTACATTTCAATGTTTGCAAAAATAGTTTTTTCCTCTAAAGATACTTAATAATTTACAAAAGGCAATAAATTCAACAACCCTCTGACCTTCTCTTACAGCAGTCCATCAAACTTGAGGGGAAAGGCCTCCTTTCCCCCCAAAATTCTCACTTTCCTTTTCAAAACTCCATAATTGTAGAGTGCACCTGAAGAAGAAAATATGAGCCATCAGTGAGAAACAATGGCATACATTCACACTGTGCGCACAAGCAAACTGCTAAATAAGCGCAGCTTTGGGTGCAGGGCGCAAACAATAGATGATCCAAAACTGCGAGTGCAAAGGTCAAAGCTAGTTTAGCCTACAGAATAGTATACCAAAGCACAGATCAGCTGAGTTGACATATTTTGCTCGATAGCTATTTGACAATGCTGTGCACATAAGATTTGGACGAAATAGACAAAAAATTGTGAAGAATGTGCACTAGCATTGATAAGAGGGGGGCTCCTGATGTTGCCTAAAGAGCAGTATTATGTAACACGTTATTCGAGTTAGCAATAGCTGGTTTGTTTCCATGTCGGCTGCACCCCATTCAACCCCCATGGTTTCTGCGTAACACAACTGTGCTATTTAAGAAACTGTGACGCCTTTTCTCTATTAGAATAAGATCAAACACTTATATTTCCCACTTGAATTACTTAACTGCTAGCAGGCTAGGGCACGGACAGCTAAATACTTCAGCCAAGTATTAGCTCATAGTGCCCAAGCTGGATAACTCTATGCGTCACCTTAAAAGAGAATAGGTTGCAATGCCTTTCAATATCTGACCAGTTACTACAGTTGAGAAGGGCACAAGCATCTATAAATAGGTAAAGTTAGGTTTGTCAAGTGTTGTTAGCTATCGCTAGCTGGTTATAGCTTGGCAGCTAGCTTGACTGACACATCACCGAAAGCTAGCGTCAGCGAGCTGTTTTGCTATGGAAAACTAATGTCGTATCATGTCTTACCTTCCGCTAGTTACGGAAAAAAGAGGACATGGAGAAAGTTGCATCAACGACGTACATCCACTGTTTCATTACTAAGAATAGGAGAAGATAACGGGTTTTTTTTCACTGATGCTATATCTGACAGCACTGACTGCTAGCCTGAATCCCTGCAGGTTAGGTAAAAACCTTCTTTAATGTCGACACTTCTGATTGGTCGGGAAGTGTGCATCCCAGTATTCTATTGGTTGATATGTTTAGGGTATTAGCTGATCAGTGTGCTGTTTCTGTAGCCATGATGTCCTGGGATATATTTATTTAGTATTTTTGTAATATACATTGATTAATAATAAAAATAAAAATGACAAAACATATTTGAAATGTTATCTGTACATATTTATTCATTTTTTGTGTGTGGGTTTCCTCAATTGTATTTTGTTGCTGTAGTTTTCCATACTTTACATTTATTGTTTGAAAAGATAAATCAATAAAAAATATAAGAAATTACAAATAAAAGAACGTGATACAATTCTTAGAAACGAAACATGTTAATCTAAAATACTATACCTTTTCTTAAATCTTAAATGGTACAAGAAGACAACACTTCTTAGGATTAATTTACAATTTGACAATTAAATTAATTCATTAATAAACAGTCTCTCGCAAAATTGATTAATCTTGCCTAGCTGCAAACCAGTGTAAGATTTGTTTAATAATGTCAGCACAAGAAAGACACAATAATTGTTTGTTCCTTTTATAGAGAAAAAGATAACTTGATATTCCCCATAAAACCTATTTCATGAGCTAAAGTGGAAGTAAAACGTTTGCAGATTCTCTGCAAGAGCATCACGTCAGTCATCAAAGTTCCAACAGAAAGACTTCAGGTGGAGTATCACTTACAGCCTTGATCCAAGTTTCGTGGAATTACTCTAATGATTGTCTCATTCACCCAGAATAGGAAGGGGTCGAATGAGGGTAAAGCTAGGGTTACACTGGGATCTACACTGGGGGGCTTCCAAATATGAGATATTGATGAGCATGTCCTCCCTCACCATTCATGCATGAACACAGCCACAGTTCTTATCCAGCAGACAACTACAAGGTCACTGCCACTCAAGTAATTACCTAAAGAGATAAAGGACACTTCAAGGTTTACTAAAACAAATGTTACATTTATCATATTTAAGTAAATGTGCTAAAGTAAAGTTACACATATGACAACATTGTTTTGTATTTTGTTCTGATGTCACTTTATACTACTACAAATACAATTCAAACTTTACAAAAAGGATTTTTCAATTAATCGATTAATATTTGAGTTAATTATTTGTTCTGCTTTTGCATTATTGCGTAAGTAGTAATCCAATGATACAACAGTCAGGAGAAATGTTCATTCTGACTTTAAATAATTTAGGTCAATTTTCAGGAAGAAAACCGAAAAGATTATGTACCAAAATGCAGTATTTAAAATGGCTGTTTGCAGAAAACACATTAGACTCTTTGAGAAAGTTGTTAAAATTACTTTAAGGGGCCCTATTATGGTTGGGTTATTTTGAGTACTTCTGTAATGACATCACTATGTAACACTCTAGCTTTATAGCGCTCGAACACATTATACGTATACGGTAAGGGGCGGGACATCTCTAAGCGGTTTACAAATCACAACAGAGCCAGGCTGCTAACAGAGCATGTCACAGTAAAAGTACAAAATACAAATATGAAATCTGAAAATGAGAATAAGCACCTTTATCCAAATGTAGTTATTTTCCCTTTGCTGTTATTTTTGACCTTGCTGTCCGTGTTTCTGTGTTATATGGAGATAAAAGTTGACATGTGATAAATCTTTAGAAATCCTTCCCCCCTTTCATGTATTGGGTATAGTGTAGACTATAATCCTCAAAAGGAACTCTGTCTTTCAGCAGTAAATGATGGGTCCAGCAATGTGACATTAGCAAAGGATCAGATGATAAATGTGATTCCTCTAAGAGTTTCTTTTTGGCTATGTGTGTTTTTTTACACATAGTGTTTTGTACAACTAGATCCCGTATCAGATCTTATGATAGGCATAATTAATCAAACTGCAGTCCTCTCATGAATCACAAAACTTTATATTCCTTTATATCAAACAACCAGTGGGTGGGAGTAAATGTAGTTGGATTTGACAAAATTACACAATATATTTAATTCTGAAACAGTTACTCAAAAAGCATATACTTGTTAATTACAGTTACTCACAGGCTACTTAATATTTATTTTCCGAAAAAGCTTCTTAAGCAGAATATGCCATTCATTATTTTTGATAGTAATCAGTGTTTAGCAATGTTGGCTGGTTTAACTCACAGACTGTATTTTACTTGATATTTTTTGGATTATCCCAAATGTACAACCAAGTTTTTTTTAACTAAACACTTGCAACCAGTAAGGTATTACATACAACAACGTACATTCAATTGATGAAGTGATTAAATTAGTCACTTGTTACATGTATAAAAGGATAGACAGCTATTAAAAGTAAAAAATACCCACACTGCAAACACCATTATGTAAACACATATTATTTCCTCTGAACATATAGGTATATGTTTGGTAATGATTAATATTGGATTGCAAAAAATCATGACGTTTTGTAAATGTCTAATGAGAACACATATCTTTTCTTTCATTATATTATAGTCTGCACATAGTGAGGATGAATTGTTCGTCACTGGAGCTCCCTCAGGGATCCCTAGAGGTCCCTGGTCCCCAAGACACCGGCTCACTTTCTGCAGCAACAGAAGTAATATGCTACGGGTCATTTGAGGAAATTAGTTACCATTTTTACAATTATATCTTAAGCTACCAAAGTAATTTACATATTTAAAAAAACGTGGCATAATCGTGAGTGGAAAATTAAATCTAAGTCAGAACGAAACTTGTAAGGGGTTCAGTTCACCCCCCTTTTCTGGAAAATGGTATGCTCCCTCCTTCCAATGGTTTGCACTGTGCTGCTGTGTGTGTTTGGTCTTTCCCTCTAGACTCCCAACGTTTAGGAGAGAAGCGAGCTGGAAGTAGTAATACAAGGCACCTTTGGGAGACAAGGAGGAGGATTGCCTTTTCAGAACCAGCTGTCCGAGTAAGTTATTTGCCGATACGATTTTTTTTTGCCGTGACTTGAAAAAAATACCTTGTCTTCTAAGGTTTTGAAAGACACACGAACAGGGAAAGCCTCGAAGTTTGCGAGCTTCGCCCACATCACCTTTATGGAAACGTAGACTTAACCCACACAAGGATGGTTTGGGGGTAGTTATATGGAGTCTGAGTTGGAACTGGGAGCCGTTTTCGAAAGGATAGAGCCGGGAGACACAGTCGAAAAACTTTCCCAGGGGGTGGCTGCGTTGGATTGTTGCAAAGTAATTTTTACGCACGGTCGGCGCCCACTTATTTGTGCAATCCAATATGCGCCTGTTGAGCACGACGTGTGGACGTGACCGCGGAGAAATCCAGGGAAGCAAACACATGTCCGTGATGATGCATTTTCTCTTCCTCCTCGCAGCCGTGCTGTCCTGTCACGGCTGTCCTGACAAATGCTTGTGCTTCTCCCAAACTGTGAAATGCCAAAACCAGGACTTGGACGCGATTCCGCATTCTTTACCGGCCAACACCAAATTCCTGTTCGTCACAGGAAACAACATTTCCCATATCGGTGTGGACTCTTTCCCAACGAGCCTCGAAATGTTAACAGATCTCTATCTCAGTGGGAATCAAATGGAGACTGTGGATGCTATGGTATTTGACAACTTGCCCAACCTTGTGCGGTTGGACCTGAGCAACAACGATATCCAGACTTTCAGTGGAAGAGCTTTCCTTCTTGAAAATAAAGTGCAGCTCTTGAACCTCAGCAGGTCTTTCCACAACCACTCCTCCATGGATGTGCTGCAAAGTGTCCTACAGAGTGGAAACCTCGTCCAGCTGACGGCGTTGGACCTGTCTAACAACGACCTCGTGATTCTTCCCGATGATATCTTCACCAACCTCTCCAGCCTGGTGACCCTCAGCCTGCAGAACAGCTCCATCATCTCCATTCAGAACGGGACGCTGAGGGCGCCCCCGCTTCTTGAACTTGACCTGAGGGACAACAGCCTGAGGGATCTAACCGCCACCTCCATGGAGGAGTTCGACCTCAAGCCCGCTCTCCTCATCCGAATGTCGGGGAACCCGTGGCGATGCGACTGCTTCATCGACGACATGCTGCTGTGGCTGAAGAACTCCACTCAGGTCGTTGACGTGCACAACCTGACCTGTTCCGACCCTGAGGCCCTGAGGCGCCAGGCGCTCCTGCAGCTGGATCCGGCCCGGCTGAAGTGTTTGGGCGACATGGAGGGCGTGCTGGAGACTTCTTATGTCTTCTTGGGGCTGGTGCTGGCCCTGATTGGTGTCATATTCCTGCTGGTGCTCTACCTGAACAGAAAAGGCATCAAGCGTTGGATTTACAACATCCGGGACGCTTGTAGGGACCACATGGAGGGGTACCATTACAGGTATGAGATCAACTCTGACCCTCGGTTGGCCAACCTGAGCATCAACTCGGATGTGTGAGCGAGGACGGGACACTGTCTGGGAGCCCGCAGTGAGATGTTGAATGAATTTGCATGAAAGTCTTCCCCCCCTTCCCCCCATGATGCTATTCAGATTTGACATCTGTGATAATTAACCCCAATCTCAACCTGCATTCTACCACTGCCGCATGTCCAAAACAAGTAGCTGGCAGCTGTGATGTCTACTCTAGTGTAAACATTGCATGGACAATGAATTCTGGCAAAAACATTTTTTTCAGAGTTATTTTTACTTTTTCCTAAAGGAGAAAGAAATCCAGTACTTTTTTTAAGTGGAAGAAAACGCATATTGCATCCCTTTTTCATTATGCCTCTCTCGCTGCCGAGAAACGCTCTACTGCTTGTTTATGAGTTTGTTATTTTTAATACGTGACTTTGTGATATACAGTATGCCTACTTTTTGAATGATTATAGTGCACATTGCATAGTTTTTGGATTTAGTAGGTAGATGTAATTGCTCTTTTCTGTGAAGATATTCAGATAAATAAAATGCCTCTGTATTGCTGGCATCTGTCTCGACTAAGGACCTTCAATCAAAAAAGATAGGAGTGTTTTTCTAAGGGCGTTGACTTACTGTAGGAGACACTCATTCC